GCCTGTGAGTACCAGCTTTTGCTGTAGTCTCACAGTAGGGCTGGTTGGTTGTGGTACGGCATGGTGCTATGCGTAATTTTCATGGGAGGAGCATAGTGCGCTTCTTAGGAAGTCCCTTGTGGCAGGGCCGTAGTACTATAAAGTGCAAGATTTTTAAAAATGTGGATCACAATTTTTTTGCTACAGTATTGATATTTGTAGAACGGACAAATTTGATGACACCATGAATAAATAACGATTTTTACGCTTAGCGTCATAAAAGATTCTTATTATAATGTTACCATATGTAATAATCAAGTGCGAATTGGCATTTTAAAATTTTGTCAATTATCGCATCTTTATAAATTTATAGCACAGAATTTTATCAATAATAAATTAATTTTTTATTAAATAATTATAAATTATGTACAATCGTTCAGATGTTAAACAGAAATCAATAATTATTATATTCATATATTAAATTAGAATAAAATAGCTCTTCCATTTGAAAATTTCTTATATTCACACCCAACCCGCTAAAAATTAAAAAAACTTGCCCATTTGGGAAGAACCCAGTTGGGAAAGAAAAACTGATTATTAAAAAATATTTAATAATCATTTTTTTTAAAGTTGCAATTAAAAAAAAGTTATTATTTCTCAACAAACTAGTGTCCAATTTATAATGAAATCTGAAAAATTTGAAATTATGGGATATCAAAACAAATGAATAATTATTTGTCAAAAGTTTAGAAATTAGTTCAGACAAAACACGATATTGTGGTTATTGTGAATTGTGATCCAACCTTTAATTTTTAATTAATCATTAATTAATAATAAGATTATACATCATTAAATACTGTAAATATAATAATGAAAATTAAAATGCAGTGAAATACATAAATTATTAATTATTATGTCATTATACACAACGTTATTTTTTTGATTAAATTTCATTTATGTTACATATAGTATTTAAATTACATACAATTATTTGAATAAAAGAAAAAAAAATTTTTCGTGAGATTACTTAATTGAATATCCCTATAAAAAATTTTTCAAAAAAATGAAATAAAAACTAGAAAAATGAGAATTTATTTTATTGGGATATACTATACCATGTATCAATATCAGAAATTTTCTTACGAAAGTTTATCGAAACTATTTGTGTATTTTACCATCATTGATGTAATAGTAACCATTTAAGTAATTTGATTACGATATTTGTGATACATCCATTTAAATAAATCAGCTATCAGCCAAGTTTTACACTCAGTCTAATAATTAATCCATTTTGAGTAAAAATTAAACTATACATATTACAATATCACATGTATAATATATTTCGCTCAACATATTATAAGTTATAACATAAAAAAAATCATACCGGTAAAAAAAATTTTTTATTTTAATTGGTGCTTAAAAATACTTAAAAATAAAGAGGTAGATCTCTTTGTACGAACATGCAACTTTAGAATAAAGAGATGTGATAAATTAAAAAATATATACTACTCCAGTTTAGAGGCTGAATGTTAATAATTAGCGGAATAGCGAGTTGATGATACCAAAATTGGATTTGTCATATTGGTAAAAAAAATCAATTGGACACAACAATTTTAAAATCGAAATGATTATACGAATTGATATCAGCGCCTGTAACACCGCATCTGAGTCACAGTTAGTAAATTTCTAAGCATCATATTTTTAATATATATATAAGACTCACTGGGACTTTTTTTTTCTTATGATCAGTTAAAAATTCTCGGTTCTCGACAATAAACGTTATCGTTATCGTTATTCTTAAAAATTCTCAGTTCTCAACAAAAAACGTCATCGTTATCGTTATTCTTAAAATTCTCAAAAAAAATGCCTAAGATTAAAAAAAACAATAATAGATATAGTAAGAATAGAAGACTTTATAGAAAAATGAGACAAGAAGCTTGGAGAATAAGTAAAGGTGATATAGTGGAGAACAGTATGGAGAAAATTAACACGGAAGCCGTACGAATGATAAAGGTAGAAAATGGTCTCGACTTAAAAGATTCGAGTCAAGAATTCAAAAATTGGGCAATGGAAAAGAATAACTTCATGCTCTTGGGTCAAAAAGTCATTAGTTTAGCGGAACAAAGCAAGATTCTGCAGGAATATAAAACGCTCAACGATGATTTTACATCAAGACTCAGGGATGAGAATTTTTTGACTGACGAAAGAAAGATTGGAGAGAAAAGACCGATTTCGGAATCGCCACGATTAGAAATCTCCAAGCCGAAGGATACGAGGAAAGAAAAGAAGAAGACGAAGAAGCAGCAAGATTAAAGATGGTAAATTTATTTTATTTTATTTTATTTCTTAAAGAGTAGTAGAACTAAGACTATTACAAATAATTAAAGATAGTAAAGAAGCGAACGGGTTTTAATTTACATTTCTTAATCAAAGTCACGTGATTACACGTTATAAAATATTCTGATAGAAAATTTCAATAAATGTATAGAATTTTTAGTATAGTTTAGTTTCAAATTAGGTATTTGTTTATTTTTATTCTCAATTGAAAATTTTCGTCTTTTTTATAGAGTCTATGTAATATCTGTAATTCCATATATATCTAATGTAAATTTATTATATAAATTTTTATAAATCTGTGATATAATTTATTTTTTATATAGATTTTTATATAAAATTAGCATAGATACAGAATCATTTAAATATAAATTCACTATAAATTAAAGTTACATAAATTTTATATAAATATTTCATATAAAATTGCATGAATATAGAATTATTTAAATATAGATCTATATATAATTTATGGTTAAATAAGTGTTATGCAAATATTTTATATGTATACAATATATAAAAAAATTTTATTAATATATCAATATTTCTTTAACAGTTAAAATCTTCACTTTCTTCGTCATAAACCTTCTTCATCTTCAACAGATTGTCCGAGCAAGACCAGCGGAGCTTATTTATCATATCTATATGTTGATTGTTTAAAGTTGACTAATTGATATTGCCGCTTTCTGTAAGTTCTTGCATATTTGATGGTGGACGTGGAGTAGAACTTTTACTCTACAATAAGCCTCTCATTGATCTCCATTGCAAGATTTACAAACGTACTTATGTAATATGAATTAATTTTATCAAATTGTAGTACAACAAGGAGTCAAGGACTATTTCATTAATTGATTCAAATTATACAAATTAACATCATTTTCATATATGGACAGCCTAATCTAAAATGTTAAGTTATTTAAAAATACATGTACGAGCAACAATTTAACAATTATATTTAATTTTTGTTAATTAATTTTTGTAATAGAAGTTTATTATTTTTACTTTAGCAAATCATATGTCATCAATTTTGATTTATATATCATTAAACATTAATTGGTAAATTATTATAAGATAATATAAATTTTCCATTAGTTAAATAAAGTGGTTTCCATGTCAAGAAGTCTGTATGTATAGAATTATATTATTAAACTAAAAATAATTTCGTTACATGATTACATAATTTGTACAACCTAAATTTTTTTAAGCTAATCTTGAAACTTTTAAACTTTTATCACTATTTTTTTTTTCTTTTTTCGTTCTTTTATAAACTCTTTCAAAAATATTTTTCAATTATCTTTCTTATTATTATCATTTTTTTCTCTCTTCTTGTTCATCATCATGTTTATGAAATCTTAATAGCTTTTGCACCTTTTTCCACTTCCAGTATTTGTTAATGTAAAATTATTGAAAGGCGAATAGCATCATGTGCATAACGTGATATAATATATTTACTCACAGTTAATAATAAAAGTACTTTTATTATTAGACATACTGTAATATGACTTAAAATTTGATGTTTTCTTTTTTTGGGTAGCAATTGTTTTGCATTTATATTTATTTGTAAAATAAAATAAAATTAAATGATCAAAATATTGTATTGTTTCTGCTCATTAGATTGTAATTGTCCTCATACTCTTCTTAACAGCTTTTATGGCAGCTACCACTGGTTTTTTCCCAAACAATTTCTTTCATTCTCGCCCTTTTTCTTCTCTTACCTGTCCTTCTCCTACCCTTTCCCTTTCATCTTTCTTTACTTTAAGTTTCGGAGGGCAATCGAGACGTTGGAACATGCTTGCGTATTATATTTATATTTACTTGAAGAATAAATAAATTGTGAATGCAACAAATTGACTCTTAATTGACCCGCTTATAAAATATTTATTGAATTTTATACAGAACTTAGCAATTAATGAACTTAATGGATATAAAATGCTAGCATAAAAAAAAAATCTTAAATTATGTGATTGATGCCATGGTTCATTAGGCGTTAAATAATCACTTAAACTTGTGAGAATTCAGAAAAAAAGATTTATCATTTAAGTTTAAACCAAATTCTGGTTTGAACACTCAACCTTCCACTTTCACTCTGTCTTCACATGCAACAGTTAAACTTTTGATTGATTTAATCTTACCCGCTATTTTGTAATTAAACTAGAAAGTTTCATATTTATGTTATCTATTATTGCACAAATTTTTAAAAACTTCATAAGAAATAAAATTAGCGTCCACCAAATAATATCAGTTAGTATGATTGCGCGAAACGAAGTTTTTTCTAATTAATTTTGGCAAACTAAAGTTCCAAAATGCACTGAAAAAAGAAGTTCAAAAAATTGCGTATAGATCGAGTATATGAATAATAGCTTCATTCCAGATCCCGTATTCATTATATCACTTTCATTATCAGATAGTTCAATCTTTCTTTTTTATTTTTCACACAAGCATCTTCAACGTTGGCGTGTGGAGTAGAGGTTTGCATTTGGGCATATTTTGAAACCCGGCCCGGCCCAGACTCAGACAGATATTCTTATAAAATTGTGTTTTCATGTTTTTATTGTTTGTTTTGAAAAAGTTGTATATAATAATATACAGTAATTTCCAGCAAAATAAGATTTACATAGGACCCCGAGGAATACTTAAAAAGAGCGGTGCATAAAAAGGCAACAATACAGAGTTTGCGTAGAATGAAACCAAAATAACGGGCAGATCCTTCCTTTCTTGGATAATTCCAGGCGGCATTATGTAATTCTGACACTGAAGGAACGCGTAGGGACGTAGGGTCAGTAGGGATAAAGTAAACGATGATATAGCCATCATAATTCTAGTTAAATCAGTATAATTCTGGCCTACTTATACATTTGGAGGAATACAGTATTATAACACCATACGTTTATTTAATCGGTATAGTATAAAAAATAATAAAATAAAATGTGTAATTTATAATATAAGGACATTGCAAATTTACAACTTAAAACTCTATTTAACGTTATTCTCGGTCTCACCAATTCCATTTGATTAATTTGTAAAAAAAATCGCACTACTGTTAATTATAATGTAAGTAAATAAATTTAAATCCCCTTCTCCTTATACTAAAAGTTATTAATTATAGTGAATATCTTGTAAACAATATTTAAATCAAACAAATACTTAATATAATATGAGTGTTAGCAGCTAAGTAGAAAATATCTTAATTTATGAAAGCATTTATTCTAGATTTTATCTTCGTCTCTAGATGTGCTATTTTACTAAAATGTAAGATTAAGATAAATATTAAGTATAAGTAGAAAAGTAAAATTAATATAACAGAAGATAAACCTACCATCTAGAGAAAGATTCATTAATATATTACAATTAATTTGAATATCTTTTAATTAAGCAATACCTGACGATCCATTGTTAATAATATTATCATTTTGCTCATAATCAACAGAATTTTCTGGTGCGGAAATATCAACATGAGGAGTATCAATTTGTAATGAATAGGTTCATACTTCACATGAAGAGCATTATTTAAGGAATAAAATATGAATTTTTTTGCATTTGACAAATTAAATTTTAAAACCGTTACTTGAGATCGGAAAAGATATGATTTTCATTTTTAAAGTTCATTGACATGTTTTGCTTTTCTAAAAATAAAGAGGTTCGCAAAAACAAGATTTTTTTACTTGTAAAAAATACGGTATCAGGACATTTTGCCAAAGGGCCATTTTGCCAAAGGGACGTTTCGCTGAAACCCATTTTGACGAAGCCATTTTGTCAAATGGCTATTTCACCAAAAGGACATTTTGCCAAAACCTTGGAAAATCTGCGTTTCTTACATAGGTAAATCGGTCAATTTTTAGCCGAATTGGCTGAAATTTTTATTGAGAAAACTCTGACATCGGATCTATTTTATTCAAGTATTAATTGTAACATTTGTAAATCTTACAATTTCACAAATAATTCTTAAAAGTTGATAATTGGAAAAATTTTAAATTTTTTTTTACAAAATAAACTGTTAACCTTAAAATAGGAATAATTTTTATTTTTTTATATTACTTTTTTTTTGAAAAATCCATTAATATATGTTAAAATGTATAAATATAAATTTTGAGCCTTATGGATATTCATAATTCTGGAAAAATAATTGTTAATTAACGAAATTTTAGTAAAAATGCCTTGCAATTTCTTATTAATAAAGTGTGAACCAGAAGTCCACTTGCAATTTGTTGTAATTTATCAATTTTTGAATAATAATCTAATTTTTTATTCATATAGTAATTTCTCAAATTTCCATCTTCACAGTATTGTAAAACCATCATATAATCTTACATGACTACGAATTAAGGTTCATGATGAGATTAATAAATAAATAAATAAAAATGTTATTTTCATGATTGCATGATTAATAATTTTATAAAAGTGATATTTCTATCATTTTCGCCAAAATGGCTTCTTCGGCGAAATGTCCTTTCGGCGAAATAGATGATTCGGCGAAACGACTTCGGTGAAACATCCCTTCAGCGAAACGTCTCTTCGGCGAAACATCTTTTCGGCAAAACATCCCTTCAGCAAAATGGCTTTCGGCAAAACGTACCGTAACAAAAAATACAATGCACTTGTACGACCTAGAAAAAATTATTAAATATTTTATTAGAATAATGGATGGCATGATAAAAAATTCAGTATAATCTTTTTTGATTTTGATTATTGTTGTGAAAAACTGAAAAGGTCTAAGGAATTAATGACTAATCTCACACGCTTGAAAAAAAATGTAAAAAGAGACTTGAAAAAAATAATGAAAATACTAAACAAGGATTAAGGAATTATTGCGTCAAGAATTTTATTGTCTATGTACTATACTTAATAATGTAATGCAATAGCAATAATTACTGCGCAGTAGATCAGATGAGGGCTCCTGCGCCAATGGATGCGGATTGGCCATCGGCACGTGCACATGACTTTACAGCAATCAACACGGGCGCAGACGCAATTGTATTTAATAAATCACGATGACGAAAAATAAAAATTAGTATTATTTATTTCATGGGGAGTTGGAAATAATAGGGTTTTTTTCCCGAAGGGAAAAAAGCCCTATTGTTTTCCTTCCCAGGAAATAAACGGGTAATCCCCTGGAGCGTGTCACTCATTAAATATTAACTATTTTAACTATTTTAAACTAAAATTAGTAATTTTCCGGCTATCTATATGAGACCGGGAAATAACTAAACGAAGATTCCCGGTTATTTATAAACTCAACTAATCACTCGCAATTTTTAAAAATTAGTATGAAGGTGATCATGAGTGACACTTAGTGCGACAGGGGATTAATTCTTTAATCCCCTGTAACACTAAGTGCTCATGATCACCTTCATACTAATTTTTAAAAATTGCGCAAAAAAGTTAATCTTTAATGAATGACACGCTCATGGGAAGGGGTTTTTTTCCCTTCGGAAAAAAAACCATATTATTCCCAACTCCCCATGAAATAAATATTACTAATCATATTCCTTTTTCAGCCATTTCCGGATCGCTGCGGAAACCAAATCCCCAACGCTCACAATCCTGACAAATCATATTCAAAATCTTGACACTCATTATCCCTACACTTATTATCTTCTTTTTTTTTTTAGACATGATAATTTTGTTACACTTTAATTCTTGCGAAATATTTTAAGATTATTATATATTACAATTATAATGTCTTTATTATAAAATTAATTAATACGTCGCAAAATTGAGTAATAATTGTAATAATTGAAATTTTTATATTATATGATTTTTAAATATTTTACAAAAATTAATCTTATTATTTTAAAAGTTATATTTTAAAAAATAAATTTCAGTTTTTTACTTTATATTAAATAAAATGTAATGTTTGCATATAAAGATATAATTTTTTTAATCTATTTTTTATTCATGATATTCATAAGGATATTACAAACAGGATTTTGAATTTCGTGACTATAATTTTCAGGACTGTTTGTGTTAAAACAGGATTCTGATCGTTGAATTTCGTAGTAAATCCGATCGCTGCAGTAAAAAAAAAAATTTTTTTGGTTTTTTTTCTCTTCAGTTTTTCCTTTGATGGCTATACTATTAAACCAAAAATTTTTTTTTTTTTTGGCTGTTTCTTTAACGGATAAACCAAGATAACGGTTAAACCAAAATTGATTTTTTTTTTTCTTTCTTTTGAAAACCGTTTTCTTTTCCCGGTTTTTGAAAACCGGATTTATTATTTTTTCATTCTCTCTAGTTTTTAAAAATCTTTTTTTACGATTTTTTAAACCAGATTAATTAAAAAAATTGTTTTTTGTTTTTTGTTTTTTGTTCATTTCTCCTTTAGGTTTGAATTAGTTGATCGGATCGCCACGCTATTGCGTTTATGGGGCAAAATTTATCACATGAAATTGTAAGACGAAACATTGACAATTGACGATCTTGAATCAGACGTTATGTAATTCAAATATCAAGTGATCGATCATATATAAAATGATTTTCTCACAAATACAAAAAAAAAAAAAACCATAAATATCCTAAATTAAAGTAGCTATTTAGCAACAAAAAAATAAAAAAATAAAAAAAAATAGTAAATAAATAAATAAAAGAAAAAGAAGAGAAACGTTAAGATGATTTTTAAACCATTTGAGAATTTTGAAATTAATGATTTTATTTTATCATTCTTTACAATATATGTAGTATATTATTATTATAAATATTTTACTCGTATTAATCCCTTACCTGGCCCTTTCCCATTACCATTAATTGGGACTTTTCATTATCTTATTTGGTTTAGATGGATTAAAAAAGATACCACAATGTTTTTTAAATTTTGTTACGATAAATATGGTGATATATATGAGATTAATAATACTATGCGAATTATAGTTTTGTGTCGATCAGAATATTTTGAAGATTTATCAACAACAAAAAGTAAACTTGAGATGAGATGTCCAGATTATGAAGGATTAAAAGAATTGGGAGTTGTAGGAAAAGGAATAACGTACAATAATAATTTTAAGTCGTGGACATTTAATCGTCATTTTTTTAATCAAGCCATTTTGTCACCGAAATTCACTAACGAGGTTATTGATTGGACAAACGAACTTTTCAATGAATTAGAAAGTTATTGGGATAGATTATTTCTTAAAGAAGAAATTATTAAAGAAAATAAAAACAAATTGAATTTTATTCAATGGTTTAGTCATTATAAAAATGATATGATTATTAAATTATTGACTGGTGAAAGATCTTATTCAATGGAAGGTTATTTTATTACTCTTAATAATAAAATATCTGATCATCAATCAACAAGAATCAAAGAATCTGTGAAATTATTTCAAGCAATTTATAAATTTCAAATAGGTTATTTCATCTTTTTCGTATTTCCTTCTTTTTTACGACATCATATTCCATTTTTTAAAAATATGGCGAATGATATACTTCAAAAATTAGATTTTATCAATCAAAAATTGGATGCAGTTATTAAGAGACGTAGACAAGAAATTGAAGATATACCATTGAATGAACCCTTACCTAATGATATATTGACATCAATGATTATCAAAAATACACTTCGTGATGATAATTATATCGAAACTGGTGCTAATAGAATTATGCCTGACAGTGAAATTCGCGTCAATTTACTCGATGGAATTATTGGTGGCACTTATAAAGTAAATTTTTAAATAATTTTTAAATAATTTTAAATTTTTAAAATTTAAAATAAATGCAATATGCTTTAACTTAAAAATTATATTAACAATTCTTTTATTTCTAATATAGTCTGCAAATATGCTTTCATACATTATCTATTATATTGCACATCATCCAATTGTGAAAATGAAAATGTTGAAAGAAATTGATAGTATATTTCAAGGTGATATAATTCGACCAATTACTAAAGATGATTTTTATAATTTAAAATACTGTGAAGCAATTGTAAAAGAAGTAGCTCGAATTTTTCCAATTATATACTCGACTGTAAGATATATTGATGAACCTAAAGAAATAGCAGGATATCAATGGCCAGCTGGTATAACATTTTCAATTAATATTAAAGCTATTCATAATAAAGATGATTATTGGGAAGAACCTAATAAATTTAACCCTGATAGATGGATGGATGAAAATTTTGAACCAAAGAAGGATTCTTTTATAATGTTTGGTAGAGGTTTAAGATTATGTCCAGGAAGTAAGTTAGCAATGATTGAATTAGTTTGTTTGATGGCTTTATTGTTTAGAAAATATGATATTAATTTAGTAGATATGAATTCTCCTGTTAAAACTAAATGTGATGGTCTTTTAGTTTGTTGTGTTGAATTATTAGTTGAAATTAAACCAAGAAATTGATTTTCTTATAATTAAAAAGTATAGATAGCGATAGCATTATGTAAGTAGTTAGTAAATTATTTTCGTCAATATACCGTAATTATTTTTTAACTACGTGAAAATTATTGATATGAAAATCAATATAATTATTTTTTTTAATTACACAAAAGTCACATGTGACAGATAGTGCGTGACGAATGGTATTTTGCAGATGCCCATGAAAAATGGATTTTTCGCGCAACGCGAACGGTTGCAATATCGACGTAAATACATACATCGTTTCAATAAAGTACCTGTCTAAATACAAACAAAATATTAAAACCAAACTATCTAAACCTAATCACACTATGCTACATAAAACTCAGCGACACCACGCTTTTTGTGTCTTTTTTGTTTTAGCGCAAAAGTCTGAATCCTTATTTACCATACCAGATACTGTAAATAACTTGATTAACGCATTTCATTCCTCAGTATCTTTTCCATTAATTTTACCAATACTCTTTCTTACTAAAAACCATTCACGAGAATCTAGCAGCGAATCCCGAAAGAGCTTAATTTCTATGCGGCTGTTATTTCGTTGACACTCTCCCTGAAAGGACCGTTAGAATAACAAATTTTGGCGGCGAAACTAAACTCGACCCCTGCTTTATCATCCCATGACTACCTAAATCTAAAAACTTTAACCATTCTGAGAATTTAGCCCTAAACTTTTATTTACTCTTTCTAAACTAACTCAAACTAATCTTATACTAACTAATCAGGTTCACGTGATTTACTGCGGTTGTTGGCGATCATAATTCTTTAGAAGTTTCTCTTAAATTAGTTTTTTTTGGGATGGAATTTAGGTTGAGGGTTTGAGGAATTTTAGTTAGGTCTCATTTCTTTTATTAGTTTAGTTATCAGAGTGAGTATTTTGGAGTAAGTATTCATATTTTTCTGTATTTGTATTATTTGTTTAGTAGCATATTTTATAGTCCTTTGTGCGAATACTTTAGTTATAGAGGACAAATTTGTTTTCTAAGTGTTTTGAGATTTTGGGATCCTATCTTGATGAAAGAAGGATTTTTGAAATAAATAATCGTGTTACTAATTTTTTTATAAAAAAAAAGAGAGAGAGAATAAGTCAAGGTAGGTTTTTTTAAAACCTACATCTCTCTTTTTTCGCTCGAGTTGTTTATCGCTCGTTTACGAAAATATCAGTAATACTATTTTGGGAATTGTGTAAACATTTCAAAGCAATTACTCTATTTGGATCCCTATTATATGTATTATTACTATTATATATATATATTCTATTGTACCATCCTTAAATATACTGTAGAAAAGCCACCTTTACCTATTTTCTTAATATTATTAAACTGACTGTATGGTATACATTTCACAAAGTATTGTCATTATAATTTTTTATTTTAATTGAATTTCTTAAATAAATTTATCAATCTTTTCATTTCCACCGAACCAATTTAATAAATTTATGAAAGTATTTTGAACCAAAATATAAATCTCCTGTATTTGGATTTTGAGATATTTCCTACAATATTTGCAATACTTTATATTTTGTTAGTCAATTTTTACTAACTTAACAGTTTTATTTGAATCCCTTTTATATATATATACATCTTTCTGATAATGCAATGAACCATCCTTCCATATTGCTGAATATACTGTTGTAAGACCATTTTTGCCTATTTCTTTAATTTTATTAAACCGATTGTATGGTATCCATTCAAGCACTGTATTATTATGGTTATTAACTTTTTAATTGCTTTTTTTGAATGAATCATCAATTTTTTCATTTCCGCTGATCCAATTTACTAAATTTATATGATTATTTTGAACTAAAATATAGTTTCCTGTATTTGGATTTTCGAGATATTCCATATAATACTTGAAATGCTTTATGTAAATAATAAATAAAAGAGATTGTAAATATATTAATTAAAAGAAAATTATTAATATTAATAATATAGGATATCAATCATTTCCTATAAAAGAACTCAATCGTACTATATAAGTAAAGAATTAGATATAAATTAAACTTGATTTTATAATGAAATCTTTTAGTAATATAAAAATTTTTGATTCTAATAACGTAAATTATATTAAAATTCTATTATGGGAATGAAATTGTATTTTAACAATATATAGCACATTTTTTTATTTTAAGATATGAATTATTAATATTATCAATATAGCAAATTCGATACTCGTTAATTACAATAACAAAAAATTAATAAGTAAATTTTTTCACAAAATTGTATTATAGAGACTACAGATTTAAGCAAATGGATATAAAATAACTACTACTATCTCAACGAGACGAAACAAATGAACTAAAAACAACGCAAACCCATCATTCTTTTATTTAATAACAAATGTTTATTCTTTAGTGAAAGATACAACAAATTCATATAAAATAAGTAGATAAATTCATAAAATTCGCCATAAATATCTCTATAATTTTCACATAACTTGATGTAATTTACCCAAATAAAGCACATTCAGTAATACTTTTTTCAATTGGATCATAATCATTAGCATTACCCTTACTTAATTTACCAATCTGAATGACCTCCCACATTCCTTGTCCAACTCTTGATACACAACACATAATGACAGCTTGAGAATCAGCAGCATTTTCCAATTGATAAGCACATAAAGGTTTATCAGGTTGAGTTTCATCTATCAACTTAAAACCTGGAGCTTTAAAATGACCGATAGTAGGAGATTTAAACGAACTCAAAACGAAATATAATTGTGTTATTTCAGGTGGTAATGCATCTAATTTCGCGGTAATACGTTGGCTACCTTTTTTATTTGGTTCGTCCATCTTATCACCTGAATGTCTCATATCCGGAAATTTTGGATAGAATATTGACATATAATCATATTTTCTAACAAATTCATAACTAAAATAACGTAACAAAATTAATTCAAGAGAAGTTTATCCTAAAATCATATTTCTTAAAAAAAAATTGTGATATTTACCCCTTGTAAAGTAAACAAGTTCCATCCAAATAATCTATACTTCCAGGATAAGTCCAAAATAAATCAAAGATTAAACTCTTGATGGATTCTGCACGTGTAATACTATAAAGTACAACAATCAATTGTATATGACTTCCTGGCTCAATTTTATAATCCTGTAACGTACAAGGTTCGGTGGTTCGATCCTTAAATATATAATGAAATGAATTTAAAAATTAATTGAATTAATAGTAAATTCAAAAATGTAATATGAAATAATTTTAATAAAATTACCTGCAATTCAACACCATTATAAATTAATTTTTGTTTACCTTCATCAACACTTAATTTGTTTTTAATCTCTTTTCTTAATGCAAAAATATTTTTAATTTTTTCGTATTGAAAAGCACATTTTTGCCCATTTAATAATACAACATAAATTTCTCCTGTCTTATTTCCATCAGCTGTATTAACATTTCGTGGTGTTTTTACTTTTCCAATATTATCTACATCAATTTTAAATGGAGCCTTATCCCACGTTAAAGATACTAGTCTTAATTCCTCCAATGATAATTTCTCTGGACATTCGGGACATTTACGAATTTTTTGATTAGTTTTATTCGTTAAATCAAAATATTTTACCAAACACTTAAATTATTTGTATCAATTTTTGTATTTTTTGGAGAGAAATAATTAATTGTTATTAGTAGGAAAGATAAAAATTGTGTTTTAGGAAATAAAAAAAGTTAATCATAAATCACGAAACTTACACTTAAACAATAAGAAGGAATATGATTACAACGTTCTGTAATCATCGTCGATGGAAACTCCTTAGAGAGTTTATCACTTTCACACTGGGAACACCTCATACTAAAACAGTTCGAATTTTGTAACGTGTAATAAGTAAAATAAGCAAAAATTTCCTCCTTTTATTGATCGTTAGACAATGAAAATAAGGCATCGTGACACAATAGATTTTACTTCAACATTGATCGTCACTTACGAATGAACCCTTTTTTTGATAAGCATATTTTATTGTACAAAATACCAAAAATGTATAAATATTGACCATTTAATGCTTTTTTCAGTTAGTTAAATAACCTAATTGAAAAATTGTCATGGGCAGCTACCATGGCTTAATATTTTTATACCAAAATATAATATTAAGATTAATAGAGTGAAAATCAAAAAAAAAAAAAAAATCAAAAAAAAAATAATTAAAATAAAAACGCATATCATTAAAATTTATTTGGTTAATACATTTTTAAATCATTATATTTGATATTTTATGTGCTTCGATAATTTAATTTTTTTTTATCTAGATAATTCAGTTGTTTCTCACTACTAAGAAGCAATAATTCATTTATTGTTTGTTGCAGTCATTCGTACCGTTAAAAAAAAAAAAAAATGAAATCAGAACGTTAATTAAATAAAACAAATATAGTAACCAAATATAGTAACTATCAACATGACAAAAAATTCAAGAACTAAATTGGTCTCTTTTTTTCTAAATAAAATAAAAATACGATAGGTCATGTAATTTATTTACGTTCATTAAGAGATATTTTGTAAATTTGAATATCAATGGTACATAGCTAAATTTCATACTAAAAAATCCATATAATTATGTAACATCAGTGTAACAAAAATAATTACATCATTGTGTATCATGCAATCACATGCACCAGCAAATTCAAGAGAATAGTTGTAACGTAATGGAATACTAATCCGATGCAAGTAATATCAACAATGAATTTTACTCCCGAATTTAGGAGCCAAATATTATTAATAAATGATTTCTTCCATTCTTTGATTTTCTTTACTTTAGTATTCTACTAAAAATAATTTAAATAAATTCACTAATTGTTTCCGGACTCTTATCTATGTTAGGACTATTTTGTGATTAAATTTTAATTGAATTTAATCAATTTAACTAAAGCACTCCTGTTTCTTTATTTAAATACTAATTGGTTTTCATTATAATAGACGATGAAGATGCACTCATATATTGCTTTCAAAGCGTTTAATGTAATAAAAGGTATTTCTACGACTATGTAATGAAAAAATTTTAGTCATCATCTTATAGTCAGATTTAAAATTGACAAATAGGGCCGAATATTCTGTTACAATTTTAATTCGTTCAATAATTTTCACAAATTTTTATCAGCAGGTAAATGAAAAAGATAACATAATTATTTATGTCAATCAATTTATGATTTTTAGGATTTTGTTCAATGATTGTTTTGAAATTAGTGTGATGGGTGTAGACAGTGTCCCTATAAAAAATTTTATCCGTTATTTCTGTCATTCACGGAAAATATAAATAATTCGATAATTTCTGGGAGCCTTTTACGGAAAAAAGACGGAATATAAAAACGGATCTACTTTTTTTACAGAGTGTCACAACGCTAGACGAAACCATAGTGTATGTTGGTAGATACTAGATAGAGGAGACATATGATTTATCATGTATCCAATCTATGTATTTCTTTGTTTGCTTTTTAAATATGTTTTTTTACAAAGCCTAGTCAAGAAACGCATGTTATCAATAAGAAATTATTAATTTACCTGATAGGGCATTGTGTATATATGAATCATGGACGTTCTTGTATATTAAGTATCCCTCTTTTGTCACTATAAAACAGGTGGAGGGAGCAGAAATGGCTCTCTCCCTATAGGTAACAGGTGAAGAACTTTTCATAAAGTTAAGTGTACATACGTACATACATACATTAATATAATTTAAAATTTTAATGTAAAAATTTTGGAAAAAGGCGCCCTATTTATATTTATGTGCATCACATGATATATTATCGCACTATCACCGCAGTTTGATCAGTAGTTTGATCTAAAGTCTTCCAAGTTTTCCCCTTTCTCTTGCTCTTTAATTTTTCCATTTCTTTCTCTTTGATCTTTCTCTCCTTAGTTTTTTTAAAAAAAATTTTTCTTTATATTAAAAAAAACTTACAGTTTTTAAACCGGTTTACTAAAGTTTATTTGTTTTAAAAAAAGTTTTTTTACAGTTTTTTTAACCATCATATTTTATTTATTTTTTTTATAAAAAATAAATTCTCTTATCCTTTCCTTCTTCTCTTGTATTTTATTTAAATAAGAGTTGAAGAGTACCCACAAAAAAAGTATCAAATTCTATAATGATAACGAAACACTATCATTTTGATTTTTTTTCTTTTTTAGGTGACTCCTTCAGTTCCTACATGACATTTTGTAAGTTTTAGAAAAATTTTTTCATTAATTTATTTAATGAACAGTTACTGACAGTTCATTTTTTTCTTTTTTTAGATATCAATGAGGTACCATTTTTTGACTTAGGAACACTGAAGGGTGTCGTGAGTTAATTTAAGCCAAGTCAACCTATTGATTAAACTAAAGACGAGTACCCTCCCATATGGTACCCCTATACTATCGTTCAAAGTCAAGTCTGAATTCAACAATCTATCTTTTTATAACCTGGATGATGTTTGGACACGTGGGATATTGGTGAGAAATCAGTTAATTTGTTCCCTTAACGAACCATTTCCTAATATTTTGGTTTTCCTTTTTTAGAAAGCCGTTTATTCGGATTTCTCTAGATGTGTAAGAATTTGGTAGGTGGGTTTTTCTTTGAGCCATCTATAATGAAACATTTTATTAACGTTTTAATCATTTCTTTTAGATGTGTGAGACAGCTAAGATTTGAAGATTTGGAAAAAAATGGGTTTTAATTTTTTTTTTCTTTTTTCATAGAAACTTTGAATCCAGCTAGAACTCACTCCATTCTCTTCACAATATTATTAAATTCTTCCTCAAACAATGATTTTGAGTTTAAAAATCAAATATGAGTCATGGTTAAAGATCTCTAAGAAATTTACACAAAAGCTTCAAATAATTTTAAAAATTTATCCGCTTCTGCCTTATTCTATAGAATTTGAAGAAAAATGTTTTTATTGATATTTTTCCTATTATATAGGTCCCGTCTCATATTTTTAGTGTTAAAATTTTGAAACTCTTTTTTGTATATTTGACAAACTAGGCTATCGGAAAAGATAAAGTAAATTTCGTCATAAATTTTACTTTTTTGATTTTTAAAAAAAGAAACGTATTATTGACATCTCTCTATTTTTCTTTTTTTGTAGGATTCGAGTTCTGACCACTGGAAGATTAAGTTTCATATGTATCATTACAAAACTTACTTTTTTTTGATTTTTTTTTAAAACTCCAGAGTAATTTAACTAAGTCTTACTAACACCTTTTTTTTGAGACAGTTAGTTTTTTTAGTTCTTTTGAAGTTTGAAAACATAGAATTCTCATTAATTTAATGGGATTTTCTACTTTTATTTTAAATTATTCTTTGATAATTTCTCTCTTTTTTAGATGGGTTATTCTTCAGGTCTTTGTTATTCTTTTCTTTGTACTAATTTCTAACTAAATGTTTACTAACATTTCATTTTACTTTTTCTAGATGGTGTAGTATACAAAAATCAAGCAATGAAAAATTAGAAAATAGTCGTAGGAATTTAGGATTTTAAACAGTAAACCAGATCACTCCTATCACATGAGTATAAACTGGGTATATGTAATGATTAGTATTATATAGTTTTGAATTTATTCTTTATAATTTATTGTATGGTGTACCATTTGGACCAAAAGTGACAAAATTATGAAAATCGAAATTTTGAAATTTGAAATTTCAGATTTTTGAAATTTCCTTTTTTGAAATTTCCTTTTATGTAAAATTCCCTTAAATGGTATAGATCGACATAAATCATGTCACAAAATTTCCTGTTTTGGGGAACGTCTAAAGCCATGTTCGATCACGTGATTTTGAAAAATTCATCACCCCCTACATCACACCCCTTTTTTCCATTTTTACTATTTATCCTGGGGACTTAGAATTTTTTCGGTGGATGGAATTTTATTTGTCACACCACTACTTGTCACATAGTTAATATGAAAAATCACGTGATCGAACACGGCTTTAGACGACCCCTGTTTTGGATATATGTATAACATCGATCATTACCATTTAAGGGAATTTCAAATTTTAAATTTCAAAAATTCAAAATTTGATTTTTACAATTTCAATTTTTTGAAATTTAAAATTTCCAAAAAAGGAAATTTCATCAAAAATCATCAAAGTCATGATCTAACTTTCTCAGGTTGGATCACAGTTTGACTGACCTTTTAACAACTCAATAAAATTTTTTTTTTTTAACCATTTAATAAAAAAAACATGTAAATGTTTTTATAATAATTTGGTAAAAAACCAATTTTTTTTTATAAAAAAAATGTCATAAATCTTTTAATAAAAAAAGTTTCTAAATATTTAGTTAAATAAAAAATATGTTTTTGCAACATCTTTAATATAATTAATAAAAAAAAATTGTAAGTATAATTATTTTTAATAATTTTAATAAAATATTTAAAATATTGCAAAAATGCTTTTGTAATGCTTGTTAATAATTTTAATAAATAGTATTGCAAAAATGGTTTAAATAATATAAAATACTTTTCACAACACTTTTTAATGATTTTAATGAAAAATATTGTGAAAGTGTTTTTCAATAATATATTTAATAAAAAAAACATTAATGTCATGAAAACATATTTTCTATTAAATTATTTGCCAAGAAATGTTTTTATAATAAACTGTCAAATATAAATGTTTTGCAACATTCTTATTAAAATTTCAAAACATTTACTTTAATAATGTTGGTCAATGACCCAACCTAAGGCTGGTCATGAATTTGATGATTTTTAATGAAACTTCCTTTTTTGGAAATTTCAAATTTCAAAAAATTGAAATTGTAAAAATCAAATTTTGAATTTTTGAAATTTGAAAATTGAAATTTTTGATTTTCGAAATTTCCTTTTATGTGAAATTCCCTTAAATGGTAATGATCGACGTTACACATACATCCAAAACAGGAAATTTTGTGATA